AGAACATGTTCTTGACGTCGCGCGAAACGAGTCCCGCAGCATGAGGGGACTCCTGGCACAAACGATTGAAACGTCTGATCTGTAGGCTGGCTTGTGCTATCCTCTGCTTGGGCTGACTCATGCTGGGCTGTGCCCTCCCGTGTTGGGAGGAAACAAACACGCTGGTCATTGCGATCCTCAAAATGATCTCGTCCGCTTCGCGGTCGAGCTGCTGGATTGGGTCACTGATCTCCTTTTCTAGCTGGCATCGTGTCGCCTCATTTCCTGCGAGGCGGTCGGCTGCTTGGTTGGCATCGGCCCAAAACTCGGGGATGCCTGTGAGCGCCGACCTCTCCTGGCTGAGGTGGCTCCCGACTTAAAAAAGCTCGATATCATTGAAACGTGGACTGGCGACTGAATGCAAGTGCCTCCACAAATCTCCGTTGCTCTGGGGTTGTCGGAGTCCTAGCTTGAGTCTCCTCCAGAGCCTCCAACCTCTGACTACATAGGCGCTATCACAGATTTAATTGACTGGACCTGCTAGAGTCTGTAAGCAATCGATGAGGGCCCGCAACTCCGCACGATTGATCGTTTGATTACATCCCCCCAGGGGTGCACTCCTACTTAGAATTCTGGAAATGTCCGATGGGCCTACTCTAACAAAGGAAAGCCAAGCCCAAGCGCACCTCCTAAGCCTAGGGTCTCCGCTGAAAATTCCCCCTGGGCCGTCTCCCGCAACCCAGGTGGGTTCGTCTGTGGCTTGGGCCCCCTGCGGTTCACCCCAGGCGGACACCTGGACCTCGTGGGTTTCCAAGGTGGTGGGGACGGTCGACCAGGGGGCTGGAATGAGACCTCTAAGCCAAAAACACTGGTTTTGTTAGCAGCAAGTTCGTTGAGCGCCCGATCCTTGAGGTCCTGTCCTGGGAGGCCTCCAATACTACCGTTGCACTCGCATTCCCAGACTCTGCGAGCCAGAGTCTCGGGTTTAGCTGAGCACCTCGGGCAGGTCGGGCCCTGGCCTGGGTATGCTTCAGCGCTCCTCTCTCGGTCCACCAGCCAGCGCAGCCGGCTGTGATCAGGGCGCCTCGAGTGGTGTGGTCCTCACCCCTCGACCGAATTGAGCTGCTTGCGAAAACTAAAAAGGTCTACCCCTTCAGCTAGGCCTGTCCCCAGGTATTGTTTGGAAGCCTCGGACCACTGTTTAATAAACACGCTATCCCGAACTGCTGCTAGTAGATTAGACTGGTCGAATTCACTGAGCGCCTGGGCAACACTCGGGAAGCTACTGACGTCTAAGAGCCAGTCGGAATCCTCGGGGTCGGTCCAGTGCAGAGGCTTGAAGGGCTTCCAACCTAAGTCCAGCATGCTGACGATGATGGCTGATATCGGTCCCTTAACCCACCTCCACCTCCTAGCCGCCTTAACGTCTTTAAGCCAGCCCCAGACTTTCTCCCAGGTCCTGGAGATCCTTGGGAAATGTAGGGTATTGGCTGGGAGGAACTTGAACCATTCACAGAGCAGCTCCATGGTGGCCACTACCCCTGGGTCTTTGGATCCGAGTTTGAGGGAGGGGAGGGTGGTGAGACATCTGCCTTGCTTCTTCCCCTAGAGCATCTGTCCCGCGAGCTGCCTGGGGCGCGTGACCTTGGACGGGCACGCGCCGAAAAACTTGGCCTCGCACAAGCTCTGAGGGATGGCGCCTGTCTTGAAAAGTAGGCTCCTCAGGTGTCTGCGCACTGTCTTAAGAGCAGTCTATGGCTGCACTGCGTCGAGCTTTGCCTTTCGGCCGCCGCAGGCTGACACGTGGTCCCCGATCAACGCCTAAGTCGGGCGCCGATACAGCTTTATCGAGGACTATGTTGTGTTGTTTGACCATCTCCAGGATGCGCTCCGATAGCTTGGCTGGGCTGCTTATATTTCTGGACTTGTCTGATAACTGCAAGTCCAGCTGCTTAAGTCCCGGGTCGAGCTCGATAACGAAGTCGGCGGCGTAGCTAACTACGCCCTCTGAGTGGCCCTCGACTCTAGAATTTCTGTCGTCTACCCAGCTACGTGCTACTAGTTGCGGTTTGAACTGGTTATTGATATGCTACAATAGATCATGTAGAGTTGCTGCTGCTACATGTTGCGCTGCTCTGCATCCAGGTAGGGTCCCCCATGTTGGTGTGATGGCCTCCAAGAAACCCTGCTTGCTGCGTGGGTACCTGGGCCCCAGATGCAACTGGATCGAGAGCGCTAGAATGGCACATGGATTTTCGTGCTTCTCGGCTAGCTGCATGACGCGGATGGGGTTAAGCGAGTCGTAGAAAGCCGAGACATCCATGAGGGCCGACGCGTGTGAGATGCCTACTTCGGTATCACACTCATCAAAAACCAATCCCTTCAATGCTGCCTGCGCCGCTGAGCTGCCTCGAACTGCGTCGTCCCACGGTGCCTGCCCCTTTCGCCTGGCTGCCCAGGCGCCAGTGCAAGCTCCTCGCAGTTGCTCCCAAAGACGAGCGACAAGGGCGAACATGGCAATCGACCTATCCTTCCCTTTCTCCTTCGGGGTGAGTGACACCCATGCACGTAACAAGTGCCATGGCCAAGCTAGAGTCCTCTCCATCTCGTGGACAGCTTGGCCTCCAGGGGGAGCCTCAGGATGTCCTTGGGCCCGATGTTGAGGCAACCTCGGGATTTCCTCTCCGGGGTCTTCTGCGGGATCTCGTCCAAGAGGGCTACCGTGATGGCCTCCAACTCCGTGGGACTTTCGAGGGCCCTTTCCCGAATATCCTTCAAGCACTGCGCAACGTCCGTGGCCGTGTTCTTCTGGACCCACTGAGACTCCCAAACCTTGGCCCTATTCCTCATGAAGCCTATCGGGGACACCGAGGGATGCTGCGTGAGGTCCCATTCTTCTGCTTTATGAGTCGGTTTTGGTCTGGTGATACCGTGTAGTTCCCCCAAAGTACTTGGATTGTGGGCCCAGACCGAGAATTCTTTCAAGCTGCGTGCTGTGATGACTCTGCTGGCCTTACCGAAATTACGCTGCGCGGCCTCTGACATGTTCTGCAACGGGCTAAGCAGGAGGGTCTCGGCCTGCTCCAATGCCTTCTGCCAAGAACCTCGAGCTGCCAGAGAAAGCGCGGGGATGGCCACCTTGCTCGCAGTCGGTGCTAGCCTCCTGAGGGTGTTGACCACCTGCTGGATGACTTCGGGATTTGTCGATCCTTTCTCTCTGATGCGAGCGAGGAGGCCGAAATGCGAGTAGGCGACCGCCCACCAATTGCAGTCGCTACTCATGGACTGCATGGGCGCGGCCTTGAAAGTGACAGGTTTGGTGGCGAAAGGGCGGGGGGCGGCTCTGCCTAGATATTGCGGTCTGCCACGTTCTGGAATATCGTAGGCTTCGCAAAAGAAGCCTTCCACTTTGGAGAGCCACCTCCCAAACTCGACTGCTAGCTGCTGGGAGAAGTACGCGTTGACCTGGCCGAGGGCACACTGGCGGACATCTGGGGGGGCTCCTCTGTGGATCTCCGTGAGGTCCTTCTTGGAGGGCTCTATCTTCTCCCAGAGGCCCTGGGGGGCCCCGGTGTCCACGAAGGGCTGCGGGTCCCCAGCTTTACTCTCGTGCTCCTCCGCCTTCTCCTCCAAGTGCTCCTCATACTCTTCCATCTTCTCCAAAGGGTCGGCGTCCTCCTCCAAGGGGGCTGCTTCACATTTTGAAGGCTTGCTGACTCTTGCTGGCTTCTTATTCACTGGGCGCTTCTGTCTCTGAGATCGCTTGCTGCCAGGATCCGCTTGCTTGAGGGGCCTCGGGGGATGCGGGAAGGGCCTCGGGATCGTGCACGCACTGTGGAGAGCGTCTTTGGCATCGACACCTAGTTCGAGCATTAGACCAGCGTGCGCCGTCCACCCCCCGTCCCAAGAGCCCTCTACCTTCCTAACAAAGGGTATCATGTCCAGGGGGACGACCGCATAGTCGCACAGAGCGCCTTTACCTGCCATGCTGGTGATCTCTAGGTTGTTAGGTTTGCGCGCAGCTGCTTCCATCACCTGGGCCCACGGTTGAAGCTCTTCTGGGGTAACATTCCAGTCGCCTGCCAGAATCCAGGGTACAGCTTGGGCCCTCAGGAAGCCTCCGATGACCTTGAGTTTCATGAGGCTCCTGCTCTTCATGCCCACGCTGGGGTCCAAGTAAACCTGCCCGCGCAGGAACTGTCCCCAGGAGGTTTTGACCGACGCCACCGTGAAGTCCAGGAAATCGATGGGCCCCGATCCGAGCTTTCCCGAGCTTCTTCCAGGGCTTGTTCCATAGCATTGATGAGCTCTGGCAGCCACATGCGCAAACGAACGAACCTCTGTTGTAGGACGGCATGCTAGAAGGGTTCCACCCGCAGCTTCAACTTTGTCTCGCTGGCGGACTGGCGAAACCAACGGTCTCCAACCACATTGGTTCACTTCGTGACCTAGCGCCTGGAGCTGCACTGCTGTCTAGTGGTGCCCTGAGAGGCCCACGAGGTTGTACTGCTTCCAGTCTCCTCTGAGCGCCTTCTTACATCTGTCACCCCAGCACGTGACATTGCGAGCGTAGATCCAAAATAGCTTATCTCCGTTCGCTCCTGGAGGTGGCGGGTTCGAGGAGCACCCGCCACCTGCGTCCTGATGCGCTCCAGGGCCCTGGGTACCTGGAGCTTTTGTTTCTCCCCCTGCGCGAAGCAAACGGTTTGGACAAGGTGCCCGCCTCTGTAGCTCGAGACGGGCTCTCACAACTTACTCGCGACGCCGCCGGGCTCGAGGGGCACCTGGCAGCAGCGTTCTGACTTCCGACGGTGTTGACTATCGGAGACGCATCTGCTCGATATTGGTTCTCGCAACTTACTCCAGAGGCCGCCAGGCTCGAGGAGCACCTGGCTGCCGCGTTCTGACTCCCTGCAGCGATTGATGATGACGTCGCATCTCGCGACTGGGGCTCGCAACTTACTCTTGATACCGCCGGGTTCGAGGAGCACCTGGCGGCCGCGTTCTGACATCCCGAGGACCCAGTCGACGCGGTTCGGGATGCTGGCCATGTGAACTGCGATGATGGACTGGCTGCAATCATCGTCGGCGATCCCGTCGTAGTCGAAGGCCCCGTCGATCCGCGCGCAGCAATCGACGTCGTCGATCCTGGCGGCCGAGCCCCCTCCAGCGGAAGGTCGGGCAAGCGAGGACGCGCGCCGACTGAGTCGGGGTCACTCTGTGCCAAGACCTGCATCGCCTTCTCAGGGTGTCTCGGCCCCGACCGCGAAAGGGACGAGGAGGCTGGTGCACCTGGAGTCGCTCTCGTAGGTGACCGTGTGGGCTGGGCGCTGCGACTTCCAGGGGCTGAGTCCTTGCGCACCCAGCCCTGTGCTCTCGCTGTGCTAAAGGCCAGATCTGGAGGCCAGGGACTCGGCTGCCTGGCGCACTGCCCTGTCTCCAGCGAGCCTCTCGCGGATGTTCATGATGGTGGCGGGTGGAGTCGTCGCTTGTGATGCTGGTTATTCACCTTCAGCGTTCTCAGGTTGCGCAAGCGGACGGGTGCCTCCACTGCCGCCTGCTGTAGAGGCCCCTCCCTCCACCTTGCGCTTCTTTCCCTCCAGACGCTTGACGTGCTCCTTGTGTGCTTCTTTCGCCATGGCGACTTGCTCCAAGGCACCCTTGAAGATGTTGGAGAGGTGCGTCTGGATGTTGTCTGGGGCCTCTGCTTTGCGCCGCCCCAGCTCTTTGATGTCTTGTTCGTCCAGCTCATGGGATGCAACCACATCTGAAATACCCAAGAAGTCGCCCATTGAGAAGACATCTTTGATGTCCACTTGGCCCTCCACCACTTCACGAATGCTGACTTGGGCAGGCCGTTGGGGTGCCTCAGGTGGCTTGGTACCCGAAGCTGGCTGGATCTCTGCCATGGCCTGCGTGACTTCCTCGTCCGCCTCTTGGAGCTGCTTGGCCATGGTAGCGATGTGGCACTCCAGGTACGCCGTGGCGTTTCTCCAACGTTCCAGCTTATCGTACTCACTGTTGAGCTTATTCTCGGGTTGTGTCTGGCGGGCCTCTGCTTTTTGACATCTTTGTCTGGCTGTATGTGTAGTCGGCGCAGGTGGTCCTCGCGTAGCCAATGCTTGGTATCGTTTGGCACCTTCCACATCACCTGCTTCCTGCGCCATCTTTGCCAGGGTCCTAGCTTTGTCGGCGTCCATGTTGGGAAGTGGTCCTGGGGGAAGCGCAGCTGCTTCCGCTCCCAGGGCTGGGCCTGGTCGATCGTCACGTCCTTTGCCTTTCCCCTTGCGCCCTTTGCCCTTGGAGTCGTACTGGCCGCCCCCCACGGGGCTATCATCTCCATGGTCTGGTGCAGTGGGGGCTGGCTTCTTGGCGAGGCTGGATCCACAATGTTTGCAGCAGAGGGAGCCCCACGTGTTCTTGCCGCAGCCGTAAGCCAGGCACGTGACCATCTTGAGCCCCTTGTGTCCGCTGGACGTGTACCATTCACCGTCGTCACGTGCAAGGGCTGGCTGCTGCTGATGTTGGGCTTCGCGCCACGGGTATGTGCCACCCCAGCGCCTTGTGCGACGGCTCCAACGAGAAGGAGGCCACGCCATATCTGCCGCATCGCGCCCGCCCCTCTGGGCCATCCGAAGCTCCCACGGGAGCGGATGCGAGTGGACTGTCCTGCGCTGGGGCTGGCCAGTGCAGGAGCTGGTCAGGGCGAACTGACCGAAACGAATGAAAGAATGCGTCGGGCGCCCCCTCGATAGTTGTCGCACAGCGGCGGGAAACCTCCAAGCTCGAGCCCCCGCGACACGGGGTTCGAACTTGAGCCAAAATGGCTACGGCGACGACGACGACGTCGACGACGACGGCGACGACGACGACGGCGACGACGACGAGCGAAAGCGAGAGCGAAAGAGAACGACAGCAGGGCCACAAGGACACGAATAGGCCACGAAGGGCAACAGCGGGGACACGAAAGGAATGCGTATGGGGCCACGAAGAGCGCGAACGAGCGGGGGCCACGGAGGGCAGATAATGCGGGGCCACAAAAGGCAACGATGGGGACACTGAGGGTAGCAACTGGGCCACGTAGGACAAATGCATATGGGGCCACCACGGGCGCGAACGAGCGGGGAGCACGACGGGCATACATATATGGGGCCACGAAAAGCAACGAGGGGGCCACGAAAGGATGCAACGGGGCCACGAAGGGCAGCGAGGGGGCCACGAAGGGCTGCAACGGGGCCACGAAGGGCAGCGACGGGGCCACGAAACAAAGCGAGGGGGCCACGTAGGGATGCACCGGGGCCACGAAACAAAGCGAGGGGGCCACGAAGGACTGCAACGGGGCCACGAAACAAAGCAAGGGGGCCACGAAGGACTGCAACGGGGCCACGAAGGGCAGCGAGGGGGCCACGAAGGGCTGCAACGGGGCCACGAAACAAAGCGAGGGGGCCACGAAGGACTGCAACGGGGCCACGAAGGGCAGCGAGTCCCGATTCCTATGTAATCTGTGAGGGAGTCCTAAGCGTGAGCGCGACTCCTGGGTGCCTGGGTGTCGGGAGCGCGGTGCTTGAGTGAATTGCAAAAAACTCCAACGCAAGAGCGCTATTCTTCAGTAGTATGCCAGCAAATCTCCAGCGAGAGCGCGACTCCAGAGCGCCGGGAGAATACAGTCCAAGGAAGTCCCAACCGAGAGCGCGAGTCCTGAATAAAACGGGAGGAAGTCTCGGGCGGGAGCGGGGGTCCTGGCTACATTGTAAGGAAATATCAGGCGGGAGCCGCTGTTGTTGCAAACCGGGGGCCAACGACACAGTTTGACCCTCAAGACTTCCTGATAAAAACAAGGTGCGAGCCCCGGGAAGGGCACTTCAATCGAAAAAACAATGTGCACCAGACGGGGGGGATCAACAATAATTAGTCATCAGAAATGAGAGTTAAGCAACAACAACAACAGCAGCAACAGCAACAGCAACAGCAACAGCAACAACAACAACAACAACAACAACAACAATCATTTTACCCGAACGCTCAGTGTTCTCCCCAGTGCCAGGGTTTTCATGCGACGCCAGCCAATACCCCCACTTCGTGGGGGGGCAATGCAAGCTCTACCAAACATCCACACGACTCTCGGGAACCACCCACACCCAGCTTCCCGCCCTATGACGTCAGGACACTTCACTTCGTGGCGCGCGGACGATCGTGGATACTACACTGGCGTGGAGTACACACCCGCAGAGGTTGATCACTTGTTTGGGCCCCGCATGTGCCCCGCATGGTGCATTTGTTGCGTATGACATACATAGTACAGAGAGACAGAGAGAGAGAGAGAGAGAGAGAGAGAGAGCAAGACAGAGAGCCAGTGGAGAGAGAGATAGAAAGAGATTCGTCACATGTGTGAGGCAACCTGAGAAGATGTGGTACACGGTACACGTGAGATGGTACGCAGTGCCAAGATAGTTGGTCACATTTTTGAGGCAAATTCCTGGGAAGGCGATTACACAAGTAGATGTGTTACGTATGATAGATATGAAGCAGAGAAAGAGCGAGAGACAGAGAGAAGGAGAGAGAGGAGTCGGTCACATCTTTAGGGCAACTTCCTGAGGGATGTGGGAGGACACAAGAGAGAAGGTATCGTTGTCCCGATGGTTGTCTCGATGGTTGCCCCGATGGTTGTCCTGATGGTTATGGTTGTCCCGATCGTTATCCCGATGCTTGTCCAAATGGTTGTCCCGATGGTTGTCCCGATGGTTGTCCCGATGGCTGTCCCGCTGCGATGCAATGTTGTCTGTTTCTGCTGTTATACAGTCCCAAGGATGACGCATGCATTGCTCATACACTGGTGGCGCTGTGATCCTAACTCTCACTGCCCAACGCGCGCGTGCACAGCCAGACGGAGGGAGAGAAAGTACACAAGGTTCGTGACATACGCACGGTCCACCATGTTCTAAACGATCACATGCACGTTTAGTTCTGAAATTATACATATGTACAAGCAGACATGCGAGGGAGACAGGGAGATGGCCATCGACAGTTCCAATACGGCTCCGAGGCGCAAGAGGGGGAGGAGGAGCAGGACAAGGAGGAAAGGAGAGAAGCGAGAAAGGAATAACGCAGACGGCGCGGCTCTGGACACAAAGGGGTGCCATACTTTCTCCTGCTTTCGCAAACAGGTCCAGTCACACGTAGGAGTATACTCACCCAGAAGCATACTAAGGCGACTCGTCGTCTGCGACGTCGCAAAGGCGCTTGGGTACATGGCTGCCTGGCTGATGCAGGTGCGGGCCTGGCTGATACCCGCGCGCTCCCAAATGCCCAATGATATTGCCGATACGCCTGCTGGCGAGAGAGCCGGGGCTTGCATACGGCAGTGCTAACGCGAGCACGTTGTGGACCTGCGGTGGCAAGGCCGGGTAATCGAGCATGTTCGGATACTCGTCGCTCTGACCAAAAGACCGCCATACGGGCAACCACCACCACTGGTCTTGACGCGGATACTTCATCTCTGGGCCGACCTCAGGGGATACGTTCCAAATGGCCATTTTCTGCGGGTCCGTACCCATGAAGGCCGCGTGATACGCAATGAATACGTCCAAGGTGGCGAGGGCCCTGTAGGAGAGGCCGGATACGATCTCCGCATGAATGGGAATAGCGAGCTGACCGAGCAAATACCGCATACTGCTATACACCCACTGGCCCGGGTGGACGAAGAGGTTGGCTTTCCAGGCGACGATACCTCGCGCGGTGCACAGCGTGTCGAATACGTGCAGAAGGTAGCCAATGGGCTTCCCAAGCCTCTCATCCTGGAATACCGAGAAGTTCCCGAATACCGCGTGCGCGTAGAAGAAGGCGTCGAAGTAAAGCCACTCCGGCTCGGGGATGCCCCCCATACTGTGCTGGTAGTCCGGGTCGTTGTTCGTCTTCGACTGCCTCGTGGACATAACGCTCGATACGGCGAGGCATACGCCCTTGACACCCTCCCATAGAATAGGGAAGAAGATACCGCACGCGAACCACCTCTCCGAGCCACACTGCTTGAGCCAGCGCCGCGCATACGCCTCGTGGTTGGGTGGCGTGTGCCAGCGCTCCATACTGTAGCGCACTTCATCATCGCTTGGGTAATACTCGCCCGTCACGGGGTCGAGCCGACCGGCCATCTGGGAAGCCATACGGAAGGCCGGCAATATGGAGGTGAATACGATCTCGCGATATACAGTAAGCGGCTTGAGCAGAAACCGCTACGTACAAACAGAAGCGAACCGCATACATGTGCCCAAATGCCAAAGTCCATACGACCGTACACGCAGAACACTCATGCGAGCGCCGTCGGAAAGACGAAGTCCGCCGCCGCACATGCGACCAGAGCAGGCATACTCACTTCATCTTTTTATTTGAATCCACAGGCCTCATAGACTTCCCCTGGGAACCCCCCAGACGCCCTCATAAACTTCCCCTGGGAATCGGGTCACAGAAACTAAGACAATCGGGCCCTGGGAACCCCCCAGATACCCAGAGAGGTCTGGCGGCTGGGGCCGAAGGCCTAAAGAGAATACATAACCACAGGGCCCTGGGAGGCCCTCCCAAGATCCCCAGATGGGTCTGGCGACTCCGTGGGAAAGCCCTCGGAGCACATATTACACGTGAGCCGTGTTGCACATGATACATATTGCACATGATACGTCTGCTAGCCATGGGACACATACACACCAGAGTTGGTCACATTTCTGGGGCATGTTTTGACACAGGGCGCCTCTTGCGGCCTCATGGGCGCCTCTTGGGGCCATCTTGAGCGCCTCTTGGGGCCATCTTGGGTTTTAAAGATTCATGAAGAGCCCGCGGGTGATTTTGATATTTTTCGGATGAGAAAGTCTTGCGTTTGCATATGTTTTCGGAACATCGCATCTTGAAATTATTGAAATCACATTATGTTTGGCAGGATTTCGGCACGCGCGCGCGGCGGCCGCGCGCATGTGCACTT